GAGAGAGAGAGAGAGGAAGAGAACATGGACACATGCAGCAGGGTTTACTCTGCTTTAATAGCCCTTTTGAGATGATAGTGACCGATTAAAATCTTGTATCAGCAGGTTGGGGCTAAAAGAGCAGTAATGGCTTCAGTGCAGCTCTTAATTGAATCTAGGCAGAAAAACAAGAGGAGGCAGAGGTAGATACAGTGCACCTTATCAGGCAGGCTGTTTCTTAAAGGTTGTCGTAATGTTGTTACGACCCCCCCTTATGATTTTATTACTCTTTTTGATTACGCACGAAAACATAAATTCACGTATTACAGATGGTGAAAAGATTCAGCCTGGCCCAGATCATTGCATTACCGTGCAAGTTTGTGTTGTGTAGTGGCCCACCGCCCATTTTCTGACATGCAACGCAAACACCTTTTTCCCTCCAGTGTATGATTCAGTGAAGCACTCCATCACGTGCGCTGTGTTTCAGCAGACTCGGCCAGTGCTAAAGTATAAAGTGTATCATATATTAGATGCAAAGTCTTTAGTCAGCACTCCTGCTTGAGGAGATCCAGAGGACAAGCGTTCATTTCCTGAGTGATTCATAATGCTTAGATTGCATTACCTTGCATTTGGAGGGAGACTGAATAAAAGCCCCTCTTGTGTTCTCTTTAACTTTAATTCAGAAGTTAATTTTTAATTATAATCAAGGATTGCACTTGAATAATATATTTTTATTGACAGTTTTTCAGCCTCACTCACACATTTTCTTCATTTGTTCTTTCCTGGATATCGACTTGTATTGTCTTTATAGGTTTTCCCTGACTGTGATGGTGTTTGTGAACTATGGTGGTGGAGGCTACTGGTTCTTTCAGCACGCACCTTGGAACGGTTAAGTACATGATGCACGTGAATTGACATAAGGGAAAACTAAATCAGTTGCTTGTACCCTACAGCCCGCACCTTACTCCCTGCACACAACGATGATGCAGCAATCGCCTGATCTTCAGCGGCGAAATCCTCCCCATAGTGTTAGCAGAGTTTTCTGACGCGTTGTCACTAATTATGATGAATGTAGTTAAGAAAAACACAGGGTGTCATTTCTCATACAAGCAAAATCAACACCATGATCCATAGATGTTTATTCTTGTTAATGATCAGGGAGGAGAGGAGGAGGATTTAAATGACAGCTGGAGGAAGATGAGGGAGGAGGAAGGAATGAGTAACACTCCAATGTTATGATAGGCAGTATTGAGGTACTCTTAAGCAAGGCATCTCTGGTTGAAGTAGAGATTTTGGTTGAAAAAGTATTTAAAACAAGAAAAAGTAAATATTCTTATAAACTTTCTTTTTTTGTTTTTATTTCAGTTTCAATTTTTCTTCGAAAATTCCTGTAATGGTTTATGGGTGTTCACAATTTTAACTTTGTAATAGCTTTTTTTGCCACATGTACAGAGGTGCATTGATTTCAGAGCTGGATTGATTAATCTTCGCCTGGCTGTAGGACTGCTGCTGTCACAGGAGTGTAAATATTTATTAATCACGCCTCTTCAAAATGGAAAGTTAATGACAGAAGCAGCGCTTTAAGGACGGAGCATTGTTTTTAATTCATCTTGTTGTCTTTGTGTGTATGGAAGGGCAAGAACTGTAAACTCTCTGATGAGATCAAGTGTGTGTTGGTCTGTTGGTATTAATTGATTTTATGCTTCTGAAATTGTTGCAGGTCTAACTGTGGCGGATCTTGTCATGCCATGGTAGGTTTGGCACAAGGGGCCTGACCTATTTAACGTCTTTTACTACTTTTCTTGTTTGTACAGTTCATATGTGGGTTTGAATGGCATAATCCTGTTATGTCTTCCAGGTTTGTGTTTGTAATTGGGACCTCAGTGGTTTTGGCTTTCAGTTCCATGCAGAGGAGAGGAGTTAGCCGCCTGCAGCTGCTACGAAAAATCACCTGGAGAACAGTCGTCCTCTTGCTGCTCGGCTTCTGCTTTCTCAACTACTCTCCCAAAGACGGACCACGTAGGTGCACATTGTGTATTCTGATTCTCAGTCAAACTAAATCCTCATATGTGTGTATCTATCGATCTATCTGTGTATCTATCTATCTAGATAGATAGATAGTTCTGTACTTTTTCAGGTCAGTTACACTACGCAGACTCCAGCTCATGTAGTAATATGCTCGCATACAGCAAAGCAAGTTTATTAGCACAGGTGGAGACAAGGATTTCTGTGTGGTAATACACCCGCTCATGTGCAAGCTTGAAGGCAAAGTGCATTTCCTGTAAATTAAGCAACATCAAATACTTTTGACACAGATGTCGTAACTAGATATTTCACTCGTCACTGCAACCAGTAGCTGCTGAATTCATTTTTTTAGGTGAAACTGAAATGATGAGTTTAGCTTTTCAAATGTGATAGCTACTTTTTTTTTTTACAGTCAAGTAAATTTCTTTGTTTGTTGGTCTGCGACAGAGATGTTAAGTGGGTTGATCTCCTGATTTGAGATAAAAGCCAAACTTCATGGCTGGGTCAGGGTTAAAGGAGAGGAATAATGCTGAAAATCCCCCATCCACCTGGGATGCAAAGGGCGCCCTTCACACATTAGCTATCTGTGGTGCTAATGGACTTTCCTGGGTGGATGTCTGCTTAACTGGGTTAACAAAAATATTGTTGTTGTGTGTGCAGTCTCAAAATCCAGCACCAGGGGACGTTTAACAGAGGCAGATAGAGCAAAAACAACCGCTGTGGTAATGGACAATTACAAACAGATAGTGTTACAGCCGTCAGCTCCACGCAGCTGCTGTAGACTCTGCTGCTGGAGCTGGTCACAACAGCACACTGACTTTTACCATAAACTGCAGCTTTGCCCTCTGTCTCCAAGGACGTCCTCTGCAGCTCAGTCGCAGAGCTTGATCTAATAAGAGAATGGAGTCACATTAACTCAATATGTTAAATGCTTTTCAATGTCAGAAGAGAGAAAAGGAGGTATTAACCTTTGACATCAAATAGGAGTAATTTCAAAAACCCTACCGTGGTTAGATGTCCTAAAAAGTGGTCAAAGCAGATTCATATTAAAAACCTTGAAATGTAGTTACTTTATTCTCGAAATAAATACAAACTTACTATACAAAATATGATTTGGATGAGATGCGTGAGGCGTGAGAGTTGATTCATTCAAACCCCTGCCACCGAGTTGCCTTAAGAGGACGTTCGAACACAAAAAGCCAGTCGTTTTGAAAAGTTCTGGCTGCCCTACTTTTTTAGTGGCTTTTTCAGTTTTGCTGACTACCAACATATTATAATATTGTCTATCTATCACTGAAAGTGCTCATAGATTGGAAGCAGACAGCTTCAGTTAAATAGTATTGAACGTCAAAAAAGGTGTCCGTTACACACAAACACAAAGAAAATGCATAAATATGGGAGAAAAACTGTGTTACAGTCTGCTGCAGCTTACTTTCAAACTCTTGTGTAAATGGATTCAACTTAAAATGATAATTCTTATTAAACATGAAATTTTCCCATTTTGCTCTTTTCTGCTATTTGATTCTTAATTATTTATTCTAATACCGTGCAAAAGATTTGAACCATCCTAGATTTCTTTATATTTTCTTCCAGGGTGCCAGACTGTCATGTTAATGTTACCACTGAGCCACTAAA